AGGACGTCGGAAACTGGCCCTCCCGAGCCTTGCCAAAGGTCTTCCAGATCGGGTATAGCCAGGACCCCAGGAAAGGGGGGCCGGTTAGTAGTAGGGCCCCCGAGCCCCTAAATTGGCCAGCATCACTAACCTGGTCTGCCGTAGCTGGTGCTGTTTCCCGGTGACAGCAGTTACAGTTAGTGGAACGGGGCGGGGGGGGGCTTCCCCCAGGAACACATCATTAAACCAGGTCCCACGAAACCCAGTTCGGCCAACGCCCGAGATTGGGCGCCAATGCACTTCAAAAGAAACAGAAGCACGCACCCGAAAGGCCGGACCGGGGCCAGGGAAAGAAGAGGAAAGCAGCAGGGGAGGGAAGAGCAAGAGGAGAAGCAGCAGCGGCAGCAGCAGCAGCAGCAGCAGCAGCAGTGCAAGCGGTTGGGGGGCCAATGCACTCCACCCCCGTGAGCCAAATTATCTGCCGCTGCTCCCTGGATGTCGGGTCATAACTCGGCGCTCCAGCGGCCGTTCGGGACAATCTGGGCACCCCCGGGAAGGCTGTCGGCGAGGCGCAGCCGCTGCCAGTGCGCGACCTCTGCCAATGCGCGACCTCTGCCAGGTCTCCCCCGGTGGTCGAGGCCGGGGGGGTCTCGGCGCCTCCGGCCGAGAGCGGGAGAGGCGTCGGGAGTGGCAGGCACAACGGCAAGGACTTTCGCCCAGGGGTGGGCTGGGCGTTTGGAGGGGGCCCTAAGTAAAACGACGCGAAGATCGGGGCAAAATCGGATCGGGATAACTCGACATCTCAGAGAATCGGCGGGTTTGGAGGATGTATTGGGCGCCGCGGCCGCTCCAGAGCGTTCCGGAACGCTCTGAGAGCGCTCCGGAACGCTCTGGAGCGATTTATCCCGATCCTAGCCCTGTTTTCCTAAGTCAAGCCTTTCGGCTGGCCCGCCTCCGCCTGCCCTGGCCCTCTTGGGCCGCCCCGTTTCTTGCCTGTATCGGAGGGCTCCTCCGTGCCTTTCGGGCCCCGGCTCTCAGCTTTCACCTGTCAGGTCGGGCGACGAAAGCTATACATATCCACTGCTCCCTGACCATGCCCATCCTGAACCCAGGAGCTGTGTATGCGCCCTCCTGGCCAAGCCAGGAGGGCGTGGCGTATACACCGCTGCGGGGCTGAGGATGGGCCTGGCCAGGGAGCAGTGGATATGTATAGATTTCGTCGCCCTGTCAGGGTTGGCCAGGATTCCCCTCCCCGCCCACGCCGAGGAGGGCCCCGGGGCCCTGGTCGCCCTGGCCCTCTCTTGGTCCAGCCAGGGCTCCCCGTGGCGCCGAGGCTGGGGGTAATCTTCCGGGGCAGCTGGGGAGGCGGACCCAGACCCCCCGAGTCATGAAAAAATCACGACGGGAGGTTTTTCATCATTTTTGGACTCTGGGGGCCCTTACCGGCCCTCGGGACCGTCAAAAAACGACCCAGGACGAAAAACCGGTCCTGGGGAATGGGTCCAGACCAGTGGGGGTCGATGTCATGAAAAAATCACGTCGGGGGTCTGGGGAGGTTGTAAAGGGCGCCTCGTCATAGTATCGCACCCTGGGGGCCTTGGAGAGCCCGTTGGGCTTGGTTGCCAGGGCAACGTGCCCCGGCGACTTCGTGGGGCCATCACGTCAGCCTTGTGGCCCCGCGACGTGTCCTGGACCTGGGGAGGTGGAGGTTATGGGTAACGCATACGTCTACATCTGGGCATGCCTGTTGGCATGCGTGCATGTACCTATGTGTGTATGCATGTACGTATGTAAGCATATCTGTATACATGTGTGTATGTACACGTGTATGCATCCATGTGTATAACTACGCATGTATATTTGTGAACATGTACGTATGTATGGATACATTTATGTATACATGTATGTATGGATGGGCTGATGCATGTGTGTCTGTGTGTACATGTGTGTTTGTATGTATGCATGTGTGTACAGATGCTTGTAATCATGTGTATATGTATGACTGTATGCATGTACGCATGCGTGAATTCATGTCTGTGTGTATGTATGCGTGTGCTTTTTTTTATGTCGGTATGCCTAGATGCAGGTATCTCTATACGTAGATATTTCGTTGTGTATGTATATATGTATGTGTGTATGTGTCTATGTGTGTATCTATGTATGTCTGTATGTAAGTATGTACGTATGCATGTATGCATGTATTCATGTATGCATGTGTGCATGTATGTATGTGTGTATTGTATGTGTGTACCTGTGTATACCTGTGTATACACATGCACGTATGCGTGTGTAGGTATGTTTGCGCATGCATGTGTATGGGTGCATGTACGCGCTCGTATGTAGCAGACATGCATGTATACATGCAAGCATGCATACATACGTTTGTATGTGTAGATGCGTGTGTGCATGTGTATACGTGTATGCGTGCATGTACGTCTGTATGTGTGTTGTGTGCATGTGCGTATGTGTACGTCTGTGCTTCTGCATATGCGTAGGTGCATGCTTACACATATGTGTATGTATGCGTGTATGTACGTAGATCTGACTATTGGTATGTCGGTACGCGATGCTGTATGCCCGTATAGATGTTCGTATGTATGTGTGTGTTCGTGCATGCATGTATGTATGAATGTATGTATGCATCTAGTTGTGTATCTATGTATGTATGTATGTATGTGCATGTACGCGTATGGACGTGCATGTGTGTACAGGTGTGTGCGTATGTATGCATGCATGTATGTATGTGTGTATGCATGTGTGTTTGTCTCTGTACGCTATGTCTGTATGTAAGGACGGGCGGGTGTCTATATGTGTGTGCGTGTGTGTGTCCGTATGTATGTGTGTATGTAAACGCGCATGTATATGAGCATATATGGATGCGTGTATGTGTGGTTATGTGTGTAAGTAGGTTCGCGTATGTACGCATGCATGCATGCATTCATCTGTTATTGTATGTCCGTATGTATGTATTCATGTGTGTATGTATGTGTGCCTCTGTAGGTGTATGTGTGCATGCATGTGTGTGGGTGTGTCTGTGTGTCTGTGTGTATGCGTGTCTGTGTGTATGTGTGTAGGTCTGTATGTACGTCTGTTTGTATGTATGTACTTAGTCATGTATGCACGCGTTTATGTATGTATGCATACATGTGTCTATGTGTTTACTGTTGTGCTGTTATGTGTGTATGCATGTATGCTCGCATCTATGTATGTATGTGGGTGTGCATGTATGTGTGTGGATGCAGGTATGTATTATGTGTGCATGTATTCATGTAGACATGTATGTAGTCAGGTCTTTACGTGTATATATATATATATATATTAGTTCATGCAGGTATGTATGAATACACGGACAAATTTGGAAGTGTATGGGTGTATGTATGTTTGCATGTGTGTATGCATATATGTGTATGCGTGTATGTGTGCGCATTATTCATATACATCTGGCAACCTATGTGTATGTTTAAATGAATATATGCATACATTCATGCATAGACGTGTGCATGCAAGTATTTATATGTATGTATGCATGTATGCCTCTGTAGGTGAATATATGTATGTATGTGTGAGTGTCTGTGTTCGTTTATGTATGTATGTGAGTCTATGTGTGTCTGTCTGACTGTCTATATGTCCGTCTGTCTGTGTCTGTGTCTGTCTGTCTGTCGGTCTGTCTGTCTGCGAGAACGTTTTTAGATATGTCTGTATGATCGTATGTCTGTATGTATGTGTGTGTCGTTGTGTCTGTATGCATGTATCTCAAACTGTAGGTACATCTGCGTATATATGTATGTATATAAATATGTCGATGTACGTATGCGTGCATGTATGCATGTGTATGTGTATATGCCTGTATGGTTGTATACATGTATGTGTGTATGTATGCATGGATGCAGTTCTGTGCATACACATGTATACACAGACATGTGTGTGAACATATACATACATACATACATACATACATACGCACATACATACACACATACATACACACATACATACATACATACATATATACATACATACATACATACATGCATGCATACATATATATATATATATATACATATATGTATGTATGTATGCATGCGTACATGCATGTATGTATGTATTTGTTCGGGCCCCAGGGTGGGCAGATTCATCCATATCCGCTGCCCCCGTGAGTCCCAGGACATCTTCTCTCCCGACGGTGGACGGCTCTGACTCCCGCCCCGCACCTGTCCCTTGCATCCCTCTGCAGGAGCTTCGCCTGCCGCGCCCCTCCGCGGAGGGCGTGGAAGCAGCCCGCACGCTGCAGGAGGCGCTCGCCGCGGCCGCCGCGCGCGCCGAGCTCCTGTTCCCGCGCACCGTGTCGCCCGACGCGGCCGCCTCGCAGCGCCTGCCGCGTGGCGCTGGCGCCGCGCCGGGCAGCTGCGGCGCCGCCACGGGCGCCAGCGCCGGCGCCGCGGGCTGCCTCGCGGCGGGCTGCCTGGGCGGTGGCGGCTGCGCGGCGGGCTGCGCGGCCTCGCGGTCGGCGGCGGGGGCGGCCTCGCGGTCGCGGCGGCGCCTGCGCGCCCTTGCTGGCCGGCAGCTGCGGCGCCGACCCGCCAGCGGCGGCCGGGGCGTGGCAGGTGTCGGGCCAGGCTGCCGGCTGCCCCGCGGCCGCGGCCTGGCCCGCCGGCGCGGTGGCCCTCGCGGCCGCGCAGGGCGCCGCGGCGCCGCAGGGGGTCAGAGGGCCGCCCCCGCGGCTGGACCCCGAGGTGGCCAGGGCCATGGCGGCGGCGCAGGCCACCAACACGGTCGGCGCGCCCGCCCGCGAGGTCGGCATGGCGGCGGCGCAGGCCGACGAGGGCCTCTTCGAGGGCCTGGCCGATGGCCAGGCATCGGTGGTTTCCAGGGGGGCCTCTCCCCCTCCCCCTCCCCCTCCCCCTCCCCCTCCTGAGGCCCCAGACCCCCTCGAGTCATGAAAAAATCACTTCGGGAGGTTTTTATTGATTTTTGGCCTCTGGGGGCCCTTACCGGCCCTCGGGACCGTCAAAAAACGACTCAGGACGAAAAACCGGTCCTGCGGAATGGGTCCAGACCGCTGGGGGTTGACGTCATGAAAAAATCATGACGTCGGGGGTCTGGGGCATGGGATCGTGAGGGCGAGGTGCCTCAAGCAGTTCAGGTACAGCCCTGAGTCCCCTCCTATCCTTAGGACCCCATGCCTCAGGACCCCCTCTTTGAGCCACCGAAGGCGGACGGCGTCGGGTGCTTCGGCCAGCTCAGCGACAGCGGCCGCTACGCGCGGATGGTCGCCCTGCAGCAGCAGATGGGGCTCGTCGCGCACGTGCCCGCCGACGTCGCCGCCCGCGCCGAGCGGCCGGGCGGCTCGACGCCGAAGGGCTTCTACGAGGCGACGCCGCTGGACCCGAAGAAGCGGATCCGCGGCACCGTGCTGTCGTGGGACTCGGACAGGTGTTTCGGCTTCATCAAGGCGGTGGAGTGCAAGAAGGCGTACGGCAAGGACCAGGGTAAAACGACGCGAAGATCGGGACAACATCGGATCGGGATAACTCGAAATCTCCGAGAATCGGCGGGTTTGGAGGATGTATTGGGCGCCGCGGCCGCTCCAGAGCGTTCCGGAACGCTCTGAGAGCGCTCCGGAACGCTCTGGAGCGATGTATCCCGATCCTAGCCCTGTTTTACAGGGGCACGAGCAATGGCACAAGCGTGCAAACATTGGGGGGTCGCGCGGACTTCCTGGGTCGGCACTGGACCCTCCTGGCGGCGCCTCCGGCGCCCCCCTTCGGGGCGCGCCGCGCGCCAGGGAGGGGGGGTGCGGCGCCGATCGAAGCAATCCGCGCGGATCTCGGAGTTTTTTCTCAGGAGGGAAAGAAACACACAGACACAATAAATCCTCGAATCCCCAGAAAATGGAAGTGGAGGGGAAGACAGAAACCCAGAACATATGGGAACATATTGGGAATCTTTGTTATTTGTGTGTGTATTTATGTGTGTGTGTGTGTCCTTGGGACCCTTGATTTATGTTCATGTCATTGTTCGTTCCCCGAAGGACGCCTTCTTCCACCAGTCCGAGCTGGTGGACTCGGAGCGCCCAGGCATCAAGGCCTCCGTCACGCAGAAGTTCGACATCGACGAGGGCGAGGAGGTCATCTTCAACGTCGAGCTGGACAAGGGCAAGCCGCGCGCCCGCGAGGTGGAATTCCTGAGGAAGGAGCTGCGCGAGCGCGTGTCTCAGCTTGCGAGGTCCGAGAACGCGGATCTGCTCAAGAGCAAGAAGCTCCGCCAGATCGAGACGCAGGGCAAGATGACTGGGCACTACAGATGAGCGGCGGCGGGCAGAAGGGGGTGGCTCGTGGTGGGGGTGGCCCTCCAGGAAGGCAGGCGGGGCTCTTGGAAGCCCTTCCAAGAGCCCCCGCGAGGCCTTCTGGGAGTCGAAGAGGCCCTCTGGGAGTCGACGAGGAATCTACGGTGCAAACATAAATTTTGGGCGCTCCACGCGGTTCTCTTGGATCTGCGCTGGGCCCCTGGCGCGCCGAGCGCGCCAGGGGCGGCACCAGATAACCAGCCTCGAACGTATCCCTGTCCCTAAGATTGACACGCCAAAAGGCGATGACAATCTTAGGGATTCGCCTTCAAACAATAAGGGATTCCCTAAGATTGGCATCGTGATGAGGAGGTGCCCAGCATAGGGATAGGGATATGTTCCAGGCTGGTAACCAGAGGCGCTTCCAGGGTTCCCAGCGTCCTTTCGAAGAAGAAACAACTGCGTAAACGTAAACTTGTTGCGCTCCGCGTGGATTTCTTGGATCTGCTCTGGGCCCCCTCGGCGGCGCCTCTGACGCCACCCCTGGCGCGCTCCGCCAGGGAGGGGGGTCCAGCGCAGATCCCAGCAATCTGCGCGGAGCGACGGAAGTTTGTATGATTATGGTGTTGTTAGTTGTTGCTCCACTCTCGGAGGCCATCTGGGAGGTCTTCGATACCTCTGTGGAAGACGGTCAACGGAGATGATGCATACTGTCAACTAACTGCCAGATGTCTAAAACATGATTTAAACATGCTTAATTTCTGCCCAACACATGTTTGGAGCATGCCTTATACAGGTTGACAACATTTAATGCAAACATCAAGTCCCATGATAGTCCTCCTCCTCCTCCCTCTCAGCTCCTCTTACTCCTCCTCCACTTTCTTCTCCTCCTCCTCCGCCTCCTCCTCTGCCTCTTCCTCCTACTCCTCCTCATCCTCCTCCTCTTCCTCCTCCTCCTCAGTGTCCAATGTCATGGCATCCACAGCGATACCTCCTGGAAGCCACCCTTAGCGTGCACGCCCCTTCGATTACCGCGCACCGCGGGGCGCGAGGCATGAAGCCTTAGGTCGGGCATGTTCTCCTGCAGGCAGATTTCGGGCGAAAGCTGAAACAGGGTCGAACAGTGCTCAAACATAGTCTTTATGTTTGAATGTTGCTCTGTTGGTACAGTGGGGGCGCGCATCCATCTGCTTTTCGTCAGGGTATCCTGGGTTTCTTCGTTCGTCGCGCTGCGCAATGACTTCCCGCAGGCGTTGAAGGAGCTGCTGCGTTCAGGGTGCTCCAGGTTTCCCCTCAGGCGCACCTCGCGCACGGGTTCCCAGGGTCTCTTGCGAGGGTTTCTTGCGGCCGCGCCCGCGCTGTATTTCATACATGGCTATTGCGTTCTATTCTCAGAGTTTTTCGAATGTTTGAGTATCCTTCCTGTGGACCCAGAGATCCGACGTCGTGATTGTTTCAATACGGGGTCCTGGGAAGTCCCGACCCTTTCCCCAGGGCCGGTTTTTCGTCCTGAGTCGTTTTTTGACGGTCCCGAGGCCCGGCGAGGGCCTCTAGAGGCCGAAAATAGCAAAAAAAATGTTTCCTGATTTTTTGTTGTTGTTGAATTTTTCTCGACTGTCTGACCATCCCTCCTGTGGAGGGACACGCCCGACTCGAAACAGCGAAGCCCTGGGAGGGCCTCCGGCGGCCGGGCGCCGCGCCCGGAGCCGGAGGGAGGAGGGAGGGAGGGAGGAGGGAGGGAGGAGGGAGGAGGAGGAGGGAGGAGGAGGAGGGAGGGAGGGAGGGAGGGAGGGAAGGGAGGGAGGAGGAGGAGGCCGGAGGAGGAGGAGGGAGGGGAGGAGGGAGGGAAGGGGGGGAGGCAGGAGGAGGAGGAGGGAGGGAGGAGGGAGGAGGGAGGAGGGAGGGAGGGAGGGGAGGAGGAGGAGGTAGGAGGAGGAGGAGAGAGGAGAAGAGGGAGGGAGGAGGAGGGGAGGAGGGAGCGCGGGAGGGGAGGAGGAGGAGGCGGAGGAGGGAGGGAGGGAGGGAGGGAAGGGAGGGAGGGAGGAGAAGGAGGAGAAGGAGGAGGAGGAGGAGGAGGAGGAGGAGGCGCGCCCGGAGCGGGCCGCGCTCGGCGCGTCGCGCGCCGTCTGCGGCCGAGGCGGGCACGCCCGGCACGGGAGGCGACGGGCCGGCTCGGGACTCGTGGCCTCGCGGCCTAGCGCCTCGCTCTGCTGCTTCAGCCCCCCTCCTCCTCCTCCCTCCGCCCCTCCCTCCCTCCGTCCTCATCCTCCTCCTACTCATCCTCATCCTCCCTCCTCCTTACCTCATCCCTTCCCTCCTCCAGCCCTACCCCTCCCTCCATCCCTCCCCCTCCTTCCTCTTAATTCTCCTCTCCTTCGGGCCTCCGTCCCTTTCACTCCTCCGTCCGCCCGCTCCTCCCTCCTCCTTTCCGCCTCCTCCTCTCCTCCTCTTCCGGCCTCCTCCTCCCTCCTCCTTCCGCCTCCCGTCCCTCCTCCTCCTTCCGCCTTCTCCTCCCTCCTCCTTCCGCTCCTCCCTCCCTCCTCCTCCTCCTGGCTTCCTCCTCCCTCCCTCCTTCCTCCTTCCTCCTTCCGCCTCCCTCCTCTTCCTCCTCCTCCTCCTCCTCCTGCGCCTTCCCTCCTCCTGCGCCTCGCGCTCCTGCGCCTCGCGCCCCCTCGCGTCGGGATCGAGGGCCGGGGGCAAGGGTTGCGGATCTGGCGACGCCGGCAGCCCCCCGGGAAGACGACGGCGTCGTCGCCGACTGCGTCCCCAGCCATCCGCCGGCGCGATTTTCCCCATGCTCGGCCCCGGATCTCTCGACCCCTTCCCCGCGGAGGCCGGCTTTCCGTTCCAGGCTCGCGTCTGGTCGGGAGACTCTCCATGGGGGGGGATCCATGGGACCCCCCCACCTGGGATCCTATCCCCCCATGGGATCCCCCCCCATGGGATCCCCAGGGGATCCATGGGACCCCCCCACCTGGGATCCTATCCCCCCATGGGATCCCCCCCCATGAAGAGTCTCCCGATCTGGTGGCCCCCAGCGTGCCCCGAGGATCGGTGGGCCCTCCTCGGGGGCCGAGGTCGAGGAGGAGCGACCAGCATCGGGGGAGCAGGAGATCGCGACAATGGCACGTTCCAAGATGTTTAAGTCGTGACTGTCCCTCTACAGGAGGAAGATTCACAAAAGTAGTCAAGAAATAGTCGGGGGACGATTTCATAGTGTCGTTCGACAATTGGTGGGCATGCTTAGAATATGTTCGATGTTTCTTCCAAGATCCCCCTGCAGGAGGACATGTCCGACCTAATCCAGTATTTCTTTAGGGGGGCAAGCCGTGACACAAGCGGAGTCCTCGAATCGGCGCTGGGCCCCCCTGTACGCGCCTCTGGCGCCGCCCCTGGCGCGCTCCGCGCGCCTGGCAGAGGGGCCCGGCGCCGATTTCAGAAGTCCGCGCGGACCTCCGAGGTGTTATGCTCATGTCATTGTGTGTTTTCCTATTTCATGATTCCCAGGATTTCCAACATCAGCAATGTTCTACACGGGCTGAAGGGACGAGGGCCGCTAGGTACTCTAGAACTCCTGGAACCTATCCTGAGCTCAGTTGGCCATGGAAATGGCAGGGCCTTTTTCTTTCACATGTTCAAACACTGCCTCTTGACAATGCACATTGCAGTACAAGTGTCCACCAAAAAGTTAAACAAGAGCGGTTCACATAAATTGCCTGGGGTGTTAAGGGATCCGAGGGACGTTCGGAATCGGTTCGAAATCGTTTCGGATCTGGTACAGAAAACCGTGATTTGCACCAGGCCCCCACCAGGGGAAATGAACACAGTAAAACCGTGGCTCCAGACATTGTCCACAACCACGGCGCTGGAACTTGGAAAGATTTTTGAGCAAGGAACACGGTGGCAACATCGGCTCTGGCGTGTCCAGGGTTGGGCGAGAGGCTAAGCCAAGTGGCGATCCGTCGGAGAATCCCCCCCAGGCCTTGTTGTTTTGTGTTCTTCATGTTTGTTTTAAGATATGCTTGTAGGAGGACATGCCCGACCTGACCCGAGTTCGAGGCCGGGTCCGATCTGGTGC